ATTATTCATGCTAGAAATTTCTGTGTGCAGCCACAAGCTATTATGGGCTCTAGCATAGTTGAGTACGTTGCAAGACCTCTTTCAGTGGTGGGCTAGCAGATGTAGGGGAAAGTAGGTGTAACTGTCCACCCCGAGTAAAGAGTTATTGTTTCAGAAAGACTGTGTCTTGTTTCTCCAACCATGGATGTATTCGAGTCTTGTGGGGAAAAGTGCGAAACCTCTGCAGAGTGTACAAACTAATCATGGTTAGCCGTGTCCCCGGTTATGGATGTTTTGAGTATCTAGTTCCTGGATTATCATGTTGATCTCATCATGTTACTTAATTTAATTTTGATTGGGTTAAATGATGATGCTTAATTGGGATTGAGTTGGAGGAACCTTCTCAATGTTTAAACAACCACCATGATAGTTCAATAAAATTTATTCCTTTGTTGTAGGGAAAAATTGGCTTTATGCAAAACTGTAACCATAGAGCTTTCCACCAGCCAAATTTGCATGTAGTGATAGCATCTTTCTGTTCATTACTTTCTGTGTGTTACATTGCCAGCATATTCCATGTGCTGACCCGTTCTGGGATGCAATGTTCATGTTGCAGACTTTTCAGACGACGAGTAAGGTGCCTTAGGTCGTGATCTTTCACTCAGTGATGCCATTGGAGTTGATGGACTCACTTTATCTTCCAAGCCTTCTACTGTTATCGTTTATAGATGGCCTTAAGCCATATTTATTGTAATAAGTTCTCTTTTGAGACATTCGATGTAATAAGTGTATGATTGCTACTCTGTTATAAATCCTTCAAGTACTGTGCGTGTCAGCATTACCGATCCAGGGATGACACTGATGCACAAAGATTAGACTGTTTGAGGTCTGGTCGCTACAATTAGACGGGCACAAAAGAGATGAGAGAAACAATACTTAGCCTATGAAGTACGTGTTAGTTCCTTTGCTATTAACTCGTTGCGGTGCTAGCCTAATCACACATATGCATGAGCATAAATCGAGAAAGGCCTTAATTTGTTTAGTTCTTTGCGCTTCCTGTACACATGATGCTTGCAGTTGATCTACCACAAAAAACCATTAAGGCAGTGAACAAAATTTGTAGCGGATTCCTTTGGTGCGCTGAAGCTCAAGCAAATGGTGGGCAATGTGCGCCTATGTGGGCTGGTGGGCTAGGAATTCCGAATCTCAAATGGATGAACATTGCGCTGCAAGCACGATGGATTTGGCTACAAAAAGCGGACGGTGACAGACCCTGGTCTGAATTCAAGATAAATGTTCCGGCGGCATCTCTTCAGATTTGCAATGCGGCCACCCGTGCCATTGTGGGCAATGGTAACAGAACGATGTTTTGGGAGGACAAATGGATAGATGGAGAGGGAGTCAAGGATATTGCACCGTTGATTTACAGCAGGGTAAGAAACCGGGTGCGGGCTAACCGTACTGTTGCCTAGGCCATGCTTGACCACTCATGGGCTAGGGACATTGGACCGGAGATGACTTCAGATGAGCTAGATGAATACATGAAGCTGTGGTCTAGGGTGGTGGATGTGGAGCTAGTTCAGGATGAGCAAGACACTGTCAATTGGACTTGGGAGAGGAACGGTGAATACTCTGCAAAATCTGCGTATGAGGCTTTATTCTGGGCACGGGAGGTGGCGCCAATGGCAGAATTCACCTGGAAAGCCAAGGCGCCTCTACCATGTCGTTTCTTCATATGGCTCGCAGCGCGAAACCGGTGTTGGACTTCTGACCGACTAGCCAGGCGAGGCCTTAATCATCAGGACAGTTGCCCTCTATGTGACCAAGAGGAAGAGTCAACCAACCACCTCATGCTACACTGCATGTTTGCAAAGGAGATATGGACGGCGGTCCTACAATCTATGGGCAAGATGGAGAGGATGGCGACGACGGGCAGCAAAATTGAAGACTGGTGCATAGATAAGGGAGGTGCAACCAAGCAGAAGAGGGATCAGGCGACAATTCTCATCTTGGTCATGTGGGAGATGTGGAAGCACCGTAATGCCATTATCTTCGATGGGGCCTCGCCATCCAAGAACTATGTTATTCTTAGAATTTGCCAGGAGGGTAGAGCGTGGAAACAAGCGGGGTTGATCACGGATTCTTTCACGAGGTGGAAATGTGGGCTAGTGCGAGGAGTTACTATATAGTTGAGGTGGTAGTAGTAGTGGTGGAATCGTGTTCATGTAATATGTAAACACTAATGTGGAGGGGCTCTTTTCCCCACTCCTTTATAGTAAAGTACGCACACTCGTACGTATTAGAGAAAAAAATTAGCTTTTGGTCAGAGGTTAGAACTCACTGAGGGAGTATTGAGGGAGTATTAGCTTGTTTTACGAGATTGTTCACAAGACCGGCCGCTTTACCTCAACCGCACACGTTTTTCAGCAACGTAACGTAACGACCATAGCGTCAGAAATTGTAGTGAGGCAATTCCGTTTCCTCTCCCTCGCTCGAGGTGATACGCGAGCAGTTCCTACGCCGGCACAGCCGCTGGCTTTCCTTCCCTTCGCTCGTCGCTCCAGCGGTGGCAGCAGGGTTGGGGAGCCCCGATTCTTTTTGGCTCGTGTCTAGGTCTAGGCTAGTTTGTTTAGGCGACATCACTCGGTCGGTACTGAACTCTTCGTCAGGAATAAAAGTTATCGGGCCACCACCTTGACGGTGTCAAGGAGTTGCGGGTATGTGTGTAGGCAAGGCCTTCAAGACAGTGGTGGAATTCTTGTCGAGGGTCATGTTTCTTTGGCTTCTTCATCCACGCCGCGTTAGCGGTTCCTTCGGTGCTATCGCGAAGCCGAAAGTGTTGGTGTTGGAGGTGGCCGGTGCTGCGGCGGTGGTCTCATCCAAGATATGTGCATCTAGAGTTTCTTCGAAGGTGGAAGATGGTTGCCGGTTCTAAAGCCATTCAGCAGCTTTGCCGCATGAGTACTTTAGAATCGTGAGTCAAGAGCAGTGGAGATGTGCTCCGATCGACAATCCACAGCGATAAGTGTGATGCCCTTCGTGGCAGCACCTGTTCATAGGCTCACAACACGGTATTTTCTTTTGGATCTTGGCAACGCCTATTCAAAGGCACACAACGCAGTACTTTCTTTGGATCTTGGCTTGATGCAGACGTTTTCCTCGCCTTTCTTTTGGATCTTGGCTTGGTGGAGACGTTTTCTTCTCCTTTTGGATCTTGGCTTGGTGGAGACGTTTTCTTCTCCTTTTCGAAGGACGCTCCGGCGATGGTGGTGTTCTTTTTTTCTTGCATTTCTCTTGGTGTGCTATCTCTTTGGGTTTCTCCTCAGATCTGCCATTTGTGTTGTGATATGCTGATATCTACTCTCTCTCTCTTTCTCTCTCTCTCTCTCTCTCTCTTTATTTTACTAATAAAGCAAGATACGTTTCGCCAATTTTTTCATCCGTTCACCCATCTAAAAGAATTTTTTTTCTATCCAAGATGGTACTAAAATCTTATGCGTTTGTCTGCTAGAAAAAGAATTTCCATACTCGGCCGCGGCTGTGGCCCAGTGAAGCTAGCCCACTTATTTTTGTGCCCACACAGTTGAGAAAATTCTATTTTGCACTCTGGCAACAATTAGTCGGAGTTTGCACAGGATAATCAATAACGGGCTGGACAATTTTTCTTTATATCTGTTTTTTACTTCTATTTTTATTCTACTTTCCCTATCTCTTATTTCCCTTACAAGTTTATTTTTTTAGAATTTATTTCGTAAACTAAAAATTCCCAAAAAAGTTTAGAATTAGGAAAACAAATCTTCGAAAATGTTCGGAATTTCAATTTTATTTTTGATATTTTAAAAATATTTGGAACTTGCAAGAACTTCCTTTTTTAAAAAATATTGTTTTTCAAAATTGTTGAAGATTTCTAAAAGGAAAAGGACATTCCAAAAAAACTGCAAATTCGAAAATTATTCTTGTCTTAATGGAACATTCACAATTAAAAATAATGTTTGTGTAAAAGATACACATTTTTGAAAAATCTTATGAATTTTCAACACATGTTCCCGTTTAAAAAATGTTCACAAATTCAAATAATGTTCTTGCTTTTATAAAAAAGTTAGTATTATCATAAAATGTTTGTGAATTTTAAAAGATGTTCCCCTTCATATTTTGTTTGTGTTTTTTCAAAATTTGTACATAATTTTTTTAAACTGTTCAGGATTTTCTTATCATGTTTCTTAGAATGTTCAAAAACTTCATATAAACTGTTCAAGATTTTTTTCATGTTTTTTAAAATATTCAAAAACTTCATACTTAAAATTCTCTCGATTGAAAGGAAAAGTAACTTCTGGGCCTTATGTGGCGTACGTAACAAAACTCTTAGGAAAAATAGATTGAATAAAACTCTTAGGAAAAGTAGATTGAATAACTCGTGGCGTACAAAACTCTTAAATGCCAAGAAAAAATAAAGAATTGATTCCTTCACGAAACCGAGCTAAATGAGCTAAATGTTCATTCTTTTATGCACAGATGCATACTATTTTATCTCCCGTTGCTAGTTATTATTAATATAAACATGGTACTTCCAAGTCAGATATTGTAGTACCATCTGTTATCTTGATGCTCGAGGGTTAGATGCCGAACGGGATTCATTGGGCGTCCATCTCGCTGAGTTCGTAGGTTTAGGATTTCTTGGGAAGTGGGAACTATATATACCATGTACATTGCTGAGCGAACATTGCACACAGACGGAGATTCAGATTCATAACAAACAGACAGACGCACTACATTACAGAGAGCAACAGCCTAGCTTGGTCACAACTTACAACGACACCTACTACTAGCTAGCAGAAGCTAGCTGGGACACTGAAGCACACACGATCACGGTACACATGATCACCTAGTACATGTGTGCTCACGTCAAGATCCGAGTACCTGACGACCTACATTATTCAGTACCTGGGACACGCTGAACGGACTACATCCAAACAAGAGCGAGCAGTCAGTTGCTTTGCTAAGCTAGGCACTGAACTGAACATCTAGGACTTGGTCTTGAACTTGGACTCGTCGATGTCGATGCCCTCCCTGGCGGCGCGCTCGCCGCCGGACTCGTCGTTGGTGCTCAGCCCGCCCTTGCGCCCCATCTCGCTGTACCCCTCCTCCCCCATCTGCTCCTTCCGAGTCTGCCCACCACGGCTGCGCCCTGCACAAATGCGCGCGTGTTACAACAATGCCGGTTCAGTATATAGTATTGACATACTTTTAAGTACGTACCTTCAGCGAGTTTCTCCTGCGCCTCGTAGCTCTTCCCGCCGGTGCCGCCGGGGACGACGGTCTGCCCCTCGCGGGACAAGCTGTCCAGCTCCGACCTCCCCTTCTCCTGACCGGACGCCATTGCTAACAGGTGCTCGACCGCTAAGGTTCCTGAAACGGACGTGTGGATGCGTGTGTGGTGTATGCAACTGCTGGCGCTCGAGCTCGAGCCAATGATCGATGGTGGAGAAGACGAGCCATACGCCGTGTTTTTATAGCTGGAGGGGCGCGGTGCGTCGTGAAGCACGGAGGCGGCACGTGTGCAGCGACGCGGACGTGCGTCGGCCTGCTCGTTGTCCCTGCTGTCGCGCCACGTGTCCGGCAAGGGCCTGGAAGACAACACGTAATGGGCGTGCCCTCGCAAGGCATGGAGTTATCCGAGGAAGGGGACGAGAAGCTCAAGACTCTGCTTGCATGCATGCATTGTCGACGCGTGTACGTTTGTAGCGGCCGGGCTCGATCGGAGACTGGCCGTGAACCGATCGTCATGCCATTTCTTCGTATGGTTTGCTCTAATATATTTATATTTCTTCTTTTTTAAAAGATGACCCCGGCCTCTGCGTCGGAGATGCATGCAGCCATTTTATTATATTTTTATTTTTATCTTTATCTTTACTACTTTACTTATTTTTTTAATAATAAAGCAAATTGGGTTTTTGGTCACCCGTCGTACATTTTTTTTTAAAAACCCTCTATTTTTCGTAAATAAACCTGCGGTACCCGTTTAACTCACTCCCGAACCTTTTATTTGCATTTTCTCGCAAAACCCTCTAATGTTTTAATCAACCCACTGTTCATATTTAAGTCAACCGAATCGTTTTTTTCGTTTTAACACAAAACCCACTGACAGTTTATCTAAACAAAATTATCAATATCTTTTAAACCGTAATTCCAATTTTAACATGTTATATATGAAACTTGATTAGAAAAATGTGTAGAATCTAAATATGATGCTATTTTTAGCTGTTAAATATTTCTAAAATATTATTTTGTGTGAACTTAATCTATAATGTACGATCTGTTTTTCTTTTTTACTGATAGAGTGGAAAGAAAACATCAATAACCACGCATGCACACCTGGGAAAAACCTCACGGGAAAAAAGAACATATTTCTTATTTTATTTCGAGCGAGTGTGCGCGAGAGAGATGCCTTAGAACTGACCGCATTCAAACACGATTTCTTTGTGTGAGCACTGAGACCACCATCAACAACACAAATGTGATGCCATGTGAAAATAAAGGACGTGAACACATTAGGGTCTTGAGTCATGGTTATTGGGTTAAGAACGTGTATTATTTACTCTCCCATTGCAACGCACGGGCTCTTTTGCTAGTTTGTGTCTATATTCTATGTGTTTTCTATTTCACTTAATTTTTTGTAAGGACACGTGTTAGTTTAGATCTATTCCGTTTGTTCGGGCACACAACACTTCCCCAGCCGTGTCCGGTCGTAGGTTGTTTCACGATTCGCTAAATCCTTGGATTCTGGCACTCCGCCCGAGGCCATATCCAGTTTTATATTTATTTTATCGTTTATTGTTACCAAGTTTCAGCAGATGAAACTTGATGAAGTTTTAAAACTTATCAAAACGTATGCAGAAGTGGTTTACCATTGATCACAGGGAACATGAATATGCAAACGAGGTTGAATTTTGACATTTGATTCAAAGATGTCTCTCCTATCTTAAAAAAATAAGTAATGTTCCCATTTCGCACGTCCTTCGTCCACCCCTCTCCTCTTGCCCGTCCCTCCCATGCTAACACCTAAACTAATCACACAGGTATTCCGCAAAACTGCTGCCTCAAAGCCCAAATCGCTTCATTAACGTGACCTTCCTCGACTCCCAACTCGCAAGCCCCAAATCACTTCCCCTTTGCCCAACCGCCGCATACGTAGAAGGCCATGCTGCACTAACGGATCACCACCGTTGACACGCGCGCACATGTAGACGGGGCTCGTCCTTTGAGGAAGCGCTGCAGCCGACGCATTGTTGTTCACCTAGAAGGTACTCGTCAAACCAGTATGCGGCGTGTAGATCTCAGAGCACCGCCGACACAACGATGTGTAGATCTCAGAGCGCCGTCGACACACCTCAATGACCGAGACGCTAGCAGCCATCGCCCCTCCTCGACGCCTGTCACACCCCAGGTGGATCGAAGGAGGAAATCAAGCAAAGAGGCTAGGATTTCGAAGGAAATTGGGAATCGAACCACTCAATTAAAGAGGAACGTCTCCTTTACATTGTACTGTAGCTATAGCTACAACATTGGGTTGTGTGGGAATCTTATGGTCACAACTTCTTATAGGAGACAGTCCCTCGGGTTATGCAAACACCTTACGGTATTGTTGTAGTAGTTGTTCTACTACTGGAGGTGTTACACGTGTTTGATCCTTGGTAACAGTGACATCCCTGATCAGATAAATAGCATGTCCAATAGCTCCAATTGTTAGCATAGAAGCTAAATTTGAACAGTGAATTTCTCTGGCTACAGAAAATGAGTTACATGTAGAGATAGTAATATGATGGGTGCCATTCTTCCTCAAAAATTATTTGATTGTTTTCATAGTCAAATGACACAAGGTTGTGCTTTGCTAGCAGATCATACCCAATTACCATGTCATACTATGACAAATTAAGAATCCTGAAAGAATGTCCAAACTGTTCTTTGCCCACGTGAAATGTAGTAGCAAGAAATTATGAGCCAGACCACAAAATACCCCCACCTGCTGATAGGTGGGAACCCGATGAACGAGTTCACGCCCGAGGTGGCCCGATCTTCACGTCGTAGGATCGAATCGGGAGGGATAACTAGCTGCAAGCAGCCGGAATAACTAGCTTTATACCTGCCAAGGTTGGATGCAACCCGTACGTTGGGGATGGCTGATCGAAGCTACAAGAACTTCAACCCGTTGTCCAAACAATCGCAGAACCACAAACTGGGACTAACCCACACAAAACGGCCGGAACCGTAAAGCATGAATTATGGGGAACCAGAGGCTCCTTCTCGCGAATCCGGATGAACTCGCAAGAGCAAAGGTAGCAAGGGTCTCTTGGATCTCTCTAGCAGTCTTGCTGCATAAGTTTGTAGTTGAATGGTTTGACAAAAGGTTTTCAAGAGGATGGGGGAGGTGGGGTTTTATAGCAGGGACGAATCCCCTTAGCTAGGTGTGAAAATGGTTACAAAAGTAAGCAGGTTTGCATGGCTTCCTTGGGGGAATAAGCAGTCAACATTGGGAGTTGTTGGAGAGCTCCTCAGAAATTCGCGAAGCCTTGACAGCGTGGACACCTTCCATGAGAATGACAACATCTTTTGACTCACAACTTCAAATGATGTGAGTTTATTTGCATTGGAAAGATAATTTGATGGAGCTTCTGGTAATGTACCCCTATGGCCCCGTCTCTCCATCACATGCGTGTGGCACAATAGAACATTAGAGGTAAAAACTGACAGCATCGGCTCCACTTGAAACTTGTTTTCTCCAAACTTGTTCCTTCAAAGCGGTTGCTTCAATAGCTCGTAGGTTATTGGATTTCTTCCATGCAATGCCTAAGTTCAACCAAAAACAATGGAGATGAAATCGTAGTTGGGTCACCAAGGTTACAAGGCAAACTTAATTTAGCGTTCATCTGGTTACTTATCAGTTTGGCACGACTTCTTGTAATTGGGCCTATAATTGTTGGAGACTTGTCGATGGTTGTGATGTACTCATCATCATCCCCCTCTTGAAAAGGAGTCGTCCTCGACTCTGATGGTCCAAAGTATGGAGAGAGGTCCGACACATTGAAAGTTGGACTAACACAATAATCCATGGGAAGTTCAATCTTGTAGGCATTATTGAGGGAGTCCTGGATTAGGGGATCCTTGGACAACCGGACTATATACTATGGACGGACTATTGGACTATGAAGATACAAGATTGAAGACTCCGTCCCGTGTCCGGGTGGGACTCTCCTTTGCGTGGAAGGCAAGCTTGGCAATTCGGATATGTAGATCTCCTTCTCTGTAACCGACTCTGTGTAACCGTAGCCCCCTCCGGTGTCTATATAAACCAGAGGGCTTAGTCCGTAGGACAACGACAATCATAATCATAGGCTAGCTTCTAGGGTTTAGCTTCTATGATCTCGTGGTAGATCAACTCTTCTAATACTCATATCATCGAGATCAATCAAGCAGGAAGTAGGGTATTACCTCCATCGAGAGGGCCCGAACCTGGGTAAACATTGTGTCCCCCGCCTCCTGTTACCATTAGCCTTAGATGCACAGTTCGGGACCCCTATCCGAGATCCGCCGGTTTTGACACCGACATTGGTGCTTTCATTGAGAGTTCCACTGTGCCGTCACGATAAGGCTTGATGGCTCCTTCAATCATCTACAACGATGTGATCCAGTGTGAGGTTTTCCTCCCCAGACAGATCTTCGTATTCGGCGGCTTCGTACTGCGGGCCAACTCGCTTGGCCATCTGGAGCAGATCGATAGCTACGCCCCTGGCCATTAGGTCAGGTTTGGAAGCTTGAACTATACTGCTAACATCCGCGGAGACTTGATCTTCGACGGATTCGAGCCCATGACAGGTGCGCCGTACAGTCACGATGAGCATGACTTAGATCTGCCATCAGATGGTCTTTAGGAGAATGCACCTGCAGCTGCCCCGGCCTTAGATCCGGAGCAGATCGCGCCATCCGAGGACGGGTGGATAGACCCCGCCACGGAGGCCCCACATTCATCGGCGCTAGAGCCGAACACAGACTTCACCTCCAAAGAAATCTATTTCATCGGATCCTCGGACTCGTCTCTAGTCATAGGTTCCGAACCACGAGCATCCGTGCCTATCGACTCTGATTGGGCGCCGATCACGGAGTTTACCTCCGTTGATATCTTTCAGCACTCACCCTTGGGCAACGTGCTAAATTCACTGAAATCTCTCTCTGTCAGGAGATCCTTGGCCGAACTATGTTCGGCTTGAGTGGGAAGCGGACGACGAAGAAATTCGTTCCCCACCCACCACCCACTTAATAGTCACTGTCGACGACTTAACCGACATCCTTGATTTCGACTCCGAAGACATCGACGGTATGGAC